ACTACTACTAACATTATTACCACCACTACTATTACTACTAACACTACCACCACCACCACCATTACTACTACTACCAGCACCACTACTACTATTAATACTACTACTAGTACTACAATTAATGCTAATACTACCATTACTATTACTACTACCACCATCACCACCACCACCACTACTGGTACTACAATTAATACTATTGCAACTATAATTATAATAATACTATTATAATTACCCTACTACAATTAATACAACTACCGCCACCACCATTACTAGTACTACTACTACCACCACCACCACCATTACTATTAATGCTACTACCACTACCAATAATACCACCATTGCTACTATTATTAATACTAATACTACCATTGCCACCACTATTACTATTAATTCTAATACTACCACCATCACCATTACTACTCTCACCACTACCACTACTAATACTACAAACAATACTACCACTAATCATGCTTGATTCCTTGATATTCTCTTATCCATCCTATCCAATTGATTGCCAAATCTTGTCTCGTCTACCTTTGCCAACCTTCTCATCACTGCCCTCCCATGAGCTACCCCCATAATTCAAGCCCTGAGCCTCCCACATGGTCTCCCAGGCTCCATTCTCTCCCTGACTCCCATCCATCTTCCTGCCCAAGCGATATTCTAAACTACTACCATCACCATTACTACCACCATCACTACCACTACTAGTACTACAATGAATATTAATACTGCTACCACCACCATCATCTCCGGGGCTGGAACTAACCTCAGAGATCATGTAGTCCAATGGCCTCATTTTCTATGAGGGTCAGGAGGAGCCGTGCCAAAGTCCCAGTCAGTAAGGGTCAGAGGTGGGATTTGGACTCAGGTCCAGAGTCAGGGCTCTATCCGCTGTGTCATTTATTTACTGACTCATTCCACTGTGAGCCAGGCCTTCTACTTGGCTCTGGGAATAATGCTAAGACAAAATGAAAAAGGCCTTGTTCTTAAGGTCCTTGAACTCTCTGGGTGGCAAATAACATCCACCTGGATAAGTAACTGAGAAAGATAAGCCAAGTACTTCCTTACAGAAGGCCAGCGCTGGAGGAGGGAGGAGCCACAGGCATCGGGAAAGGCCGGTGGAGGAGGTTGTCCCTGAGAGCAGGAGACCAGGAGGGAGTGCTTTACTCAGGTATTAAGAGAGACTTTGCAAAGACACGTGAGGTGGAATGTTGGGTCCATAGCATTGAGTGTGGGAAGGAGAGCAGTGAGCCTGGTGGCTGGAGGCATACCGGGAAGGGTTTTATATGTATGCCAAATGGAGAAGTTTGTATACCCTAGATGAACTGGGGGTCGCTGGAGCTTCTAAAAGAGGGAACTGCCATGGTCACACCCCCGCTTTAGAATATGGCTTTGGCAGCTATGTGGAAGATGCATGGGAGTCAGGGAAAGAATGGAGCCTGGGAGACCATGTAGGAGGCTCTTACAGTACAAGTGAGAGGTGATGAGGGCTTGAATTAGGGGGGTAGGTTGTGAGAGGAGAGTGATGAAAGAGAGGTTGCAAAGGTGGACGAGACAAGGCTTGGCATCCTTGGATAGGATGGATAAGAGAATATCAAGGAATCAAGCACGATTCTGAGGTCGCTCGCCTGAACAAGTAGAGGGATGGTGGTGCTCTTGACAGAAACATGGAGATTAAGATGAAGGGAGATTCGGCGGGTGTGCGAAGATAATGAGTTCTGTTTGGGATAGATTGAGTGTAGGACAATGACAGGAGATCCAGGAGGGCATGTTTAATAGGATCGTAGATTTTTAGAGATGGAAGGGACTGCAGAAGTCATGAAGTCAATCCCCTACTCCCATTTTCCAGATGAGGAAACAGAGGCCCAGGGAAGTTAAATGACTTGCCCAAGGTCACACAGTCAGGAAGTAGCAGAACATAGGATATGAACCCAGGAACTTGGACTCCATATCCAGTACATTTTCCACTGTACCATGCTGCCTCTGGGCAGTGAGGTAGGAACGAAGCTCAGGAGAGACTAAGGTTGTATATCTACGTATCAGTATCTATATCTATGTCCATATTTATCTAGATAGATATCTATCTATAGATATTACATATTATATACACAGATGATAGAAAGATAGTCGGAGTAATAGATGATAGATAGATGGCTAGCTAGATAGTTGGAAGAATAGATGATATATGGATGAATAGATAGTTGGATGGATGGATGGATGGTTAGCTAGATAGCCTTTATTAAGCACCTAGGATATACCAGACACTCTGCTAAGCACTGGGAATACTAAGACAAAACCTAAACTGTCCTTGACCTCATGCGGCTTGTATTCTAATGGGGGAAGGTAGATGGAAAGGGAAAATGATATGTCTACATGTAAGCAAATATATATATATATATTTAATATATAATATGTAAAATATAAAATGCAGAGTGTTCCAAAAACAACTGCATGAATACTTGTGGGCTATCATACACACACACTAGCAGAGGGGGTCACATAGGACATGGCGCTGGAGCTGAAGGAGCTAGGAATCCTAAGAGGTAGAGGCAAGGAGAGAGTATATTCCAGGGGCAGCTAGGTGGCACAGTGGATAGAGTTCCAGCTTTGGAGTCAGGAGGACCTGAGTTCAAATGTGACCTCAGACACTTGACACTTGACACTTAGTAGCTGTGTGACCCTGGGCAAGTCACTTAACTCCAATTGCCTCACCAAAGAGCCAAAAAAAGAGAGTGAGAGAGAGAGAGAGAGAGAGAGAGAGAGAGAGAGAGAAAGAGTACATTCCAGGTATGGGACAGATTGTGCAAAGGAATGGTGGCAGATGGTGTGTTATGAAGAACATGGCCAAAAGGCAAAATTAGCATGGAGGATGGTGATGTGTAGTAAGCCTGGAAAAGTAGGCTGGAACCAGGCTGTGAAGGGCTTTAAGAGCCAAACAAAAGGCTTTTATATTTTATCCTGGGTGGAACTGGGAGTCATTGGAGCTTCTTGAGCTGGGAAGTGACATGGTCTCAAACCTGTGCTTTAGGAATATCAGTTTGGTGGCTGAGTGGCAGATAGATTGGGGAGAAGCAACGAAAGAGTGAGAGATGGTGATCACTGTGTGAGTGGAGAGAAGGGGATCGATGTGAGAGGTGTTGCAGTGGTAGAGACAAGAGACAAAACTTGACCAGTGATTGGTTATGGGAAGAGAAAAGAGTCAATGAGTTGGGGGGAGGGGACCTGAATGCCTGGGAGGAGGAGAATGCCTTTGACAGAAATAGAAAAGTGAGGAAGAGAAGTGGTTTTGAAGGAAAGAGTATGAGTCCTGTTTTGGACTTGCTGGATTTAAGATGCCTAGGTGACATTCAACTGGAAATATCCAGTAGGTTTCTAGGTGATAAGCAGTGGAGGACTAGAGATCAGGGGAGAGATGAGGGCGAGCTACAGAGAGCTGGGAGGCCCCTACAAAAAGTTAAGGACCTGATTCATAGGAGCTGAGAGACAGACAGACAGACAGAGAGACACACACACAGATTGACAGACCAAGACAGAGAGACAAAGAGGAGAGGAGGGAGGGAGGGAGGGGGGAGAGAGACACACACAGAGAGAGACAGAGACGAAGAGAGACAAAGACACACACACAGATGGACAGACAAAGAGGAGAGGAGGGAGGGAGGAGAGAGAGAGAGAGAGAGAGAGAGAGAGAGAGAGAGAGAGAGGAGGTGAAGGCTCAGAACAGAGCCTTGGGATTTACTCAGGAGGTGGCACATGGGTGACTGTCCAGCAAAAGAGACAGAGGAGTGTCTGGATAGGAAGGAAGAAAACCAAGAGAGAGCTGAGTCATGAAAACCCAGAGGAGGAAGTATCAGGAGAGGATGATCAAAGGTGTCAAATGCTGAAGCAAAACCAAGAAGGATGAAGCTTGAGATGGGATGAAAGCACTCTTAGTAACCTTGCAGAGAGCAGTTCCAGTCCACTCATGAGAATGAGAATGGAAGCCATATTGCAAGGGATGGAGAAGGAAGAAGAGCAAAGTGTAGCCAGCTTTTTTTTTTTTTTCTAGTTTGGCAGTGGAAGAGAAAAGAGAAAAAAGGTGAGAGCTTGAGGGGATGTTAGCATCACGTGAAGGATGAGGAAAGACTTGGGCATGTTTGTAGAAAGTAGAGAAGATGGTAGATGTGGAGAAATTGAAGATTATGGAAAGAGAGGATGATTAAGGAAGGGGGAGAGGAAATCTGCCAGGGAGGCAGGAGGGGCTAGCAGGACCAAGGGTACAAGCAGAGGGGTTGGCTTTGGTCATCAGAGACTGGAATATAGGAGAAGAGAAAGGCATGACAGGAGGAAACTCAGAGCAAATGACCTAAATGCATATTGGTTAAGTTTTTTTTTTTGGCATGTTATTCAATTACCAAAAAAAAAAAAAAAAAGAGAGAGAGAGAGAGGCAGAAGGCTCCACCCCCCCAATTCTCTTTTCACTAATAGTCTCTGTTCTGTCAGGATGGGGCTAGTCCAAACTGGAAAAATCCCTGGTCCAGCTCCAAGTGGTGCTATCCGACCCTGGCCTGTAGCACTCTCTCATCCCGCTGTAACCCCAGGTTAGCTTTCTTCGGGCCACGAAGGGAAACGGCATCAACATATGCCTTCAGCCCTTTAGCTGCTTTGGGGGAGTGGGCTTCCTTCCCCCGCCTCCCTAAGCAGATATACACAAAGAAAGGCCTGACCCACCCCAGTCTTCCCTCCTAGCAAGAACAGGAGCGCTTTTCTCTGCCGATCCTCGTGTACAATGAGACCCACCGAAAGGGGTCACGGTGGCATGAAACAGACGCCTCTCCTTCTGTGCCCTCGGGGTCTATGCCCCTTTCAGGCAGCGCCAGTACTAAGCCTGTGCCTGCCCGCCCCGGGCAGTAGCAAATGCGCAGAGGCCCCCTTCGGGCAGGGGCAGCGCGGCCCAGGATCCTGCCATCTCGGTGGCGGCCAGCAGGGTCCCGGTGCTCATCCGGCCGAGAGGAGTCCGAGGCCGGCCGGGGTGTTTATCCCGGGCGCGGCCAGCAGGGCGCTCCCTCCTCCGCGCTGGGCTGGGCAGGGCTAGGCTAGGCTGGGCTGGGCTGGCTGGCTGGCTGGGCGGCGGGGCTGCGCTTCACTGCGCTGCGCTGCGCTGCGCTGCGCGGCGCGGGGTTGGACTGAGCAGGGCTGGGCTGGCCCGGCTGCGCTGCGCGGGGCTGGACTGAGCTGAGCTGCGCTGCGCGGGGCCGGGCTAGGCTGCCAGGGCTGGGCTGGGCAGGGCTGGGCTGGGCTCGGGCGGGCTGGGGGCGGCGCCGCGCGGCTCCGGGGCTCGGCTGGGCTCACTGCGCTAGCTCGCTCGCTCCTTAGCTCGCTCGCTCGGCGCGCCTCTGCTGGCCTCTGCTGGGGTTTGCTGCGTGCGCTGCAGCCGGGACTGGGAGCCGGCGCTGGAGCCGGCGCTGGAGCGGGGCCGGGCCGGGGCCGGGCCCGAGCCCGAGCCGGTGCATGCCGCGTCCCTGCATCTCCTACCTGGCCGCCCGTCCGGCGGGCTCCGGCGGCCGGTGAGTGCGGGCCGGGCCCGGGGCGGGAAGGGAGCCGGAGAGCCTGAGAGCCGGAGCCGGGGGTGGCCGGGTGGCGGGGCGGGCTCCTCCTCCTTCTCCTCCTCCTCCTTCTTCCCCTCCTTCCTCTCCTCCTCCTCCTCCTCCCGGGAAGCCCGCCGCGGCCCCCCGGGCTCCGGCTTCTTCCCCTGCCCTGCTCTGGCGCTGGGGGTGCACGAGAAGACGCCGGCGCGTCCTTCCCCGGGCCCCTGGTTCCGGGCCCGGGCATGGTCGGGGCTGCGGACGCCCTCGGACCCGGAGGGTGCAGGGGGAAACCAGGCGCTGTCCTGCAGCGGCGGGGGGCAGGCGGCCAGGGACGGTTAGGGCCCAGCCCCCTTCTTCGTCCTCCGGGGGTGCCCTTTATTCCGGAGGGAGCTCTGGGGGCATGCTTTGTACTGGAAGGATGTTCCGTGCGTGGGAGTGGGGTGGCGGTGGGGCTGCCCCCTTCCCTCACTGGCCCCGGGGGGGTGGGGGGGGGGGGGGGGACATGGGACTTGGGAGTAGGGGGCTGAACTGCCTTAGGCCCAGGCTTTCCTGACAGCCTTAAGGGGAGGGGGAAAGCAAATGAGATTGGAGTCCATTATCCTCTCCCTCGGTCCTCACCCTTTCACTGCCAAAACAGCGCAGCCCTCCCCCCTGGAGCAGCTGCCAGACAGCTGGCAAAACAATGGAGTAAAGGCGACCCTGGTTCCCTGATGCCCGCTGCCCCCCTTCTTCTTCCTCCTCCTCCTCCGACTGGAGGCAAAGATGACTGGGGGAATCCTTGGGCCTTGGGGGATTCTGGGTCCTCAGCTTGTTTCCCTATTTACCTTTTCAAAGAGGGTAGGGAGGAGGGGAAGAGAAAGGGAAGCAGCCTAGCCTGGGGCAGGGGTGAGAGACAGGCCTGGACTGTCCCCACCCCACTAACCTGTCATGCCAGTTGGTTGGGTGACAGGCCTGGGGGTTATCTGCCCCTCCCGGGGTTCCCTGGGGGTGGTCCCTTGCCATACTAAGCTAGGCGAGGAGCGGTCACAGTCTTGGGCAGAAGGACATGCAGCGTACACACGGTCGGCTTTGTCGTAGTGGGTTGGGAAGAAGGGGGCGGGCACACATGGGCACATAGATCTCCTACAGACATGTGCTCTCTAGAGATTATTTAAGAAAAGAGCCCAAAGGAGAGAGTGCATTGGGGCTGATGATGGTCAGTGGTTTGTTTTTGCTGGCTGGCTGAGCTGTCCCAGAACCCTGACAGGCTTCCTTCTTTGGCTCTGCGTATGTCGGGTGCTTTGTGTGGGGTCCCTTCTGGCCAAGGCCCCTTTCCCAACCCATTCTCTGAGGGATGAGAATTGATCCCTTCCTTGAGGCAGGATTACTTTATATTATAGTTTCTGAGCCGAAAGAGACCTTGTGTACCAAATTAATTTTACCAATGAGACTGAAAACCAGAGTTTAAGTGACTTGTCCAAGGTCACACAACACACTTGAACTCAGACCCTGCAGGTCCACTTTTTCCTCCGAGCTAAGCAGTGAACAGACCTATTGCCATATCGGGGGTCTTATCCCGCTGCTGCCACCATTTTTGTTGGTTTGGGTACCAGTTCCTATTTGGGGATGTTGCAAATGCCAGTGCTGGCACTTGTCAGGAGCCTGGGGCTTCCAGCCAGCCCTTGGCTGGCTCCTCCACTGGTCAAGGCTTCCTTCTTGGTGTCTGCCTCTGGAGCTTCCCCTCTGGCTCCTTTGTTCCCAATCTTAGGCTTTTCAGGAAATGGCCTCCCTTTCAGGTCATTACCAGTTAAATATAGCACTGGGTGGAGGTTTGCTTGTCTATTGACATCTTCACGTTGCATGGAAGGAGTGACTCCAGGATGGAGAGGAAGAGTGCCTCATCCACAGGTAGAAGCTGTGGGATTGAGAGAAGAAGGCTTGGTGGGCCATCGGTGCCAGGAGTGGTGTGGGCGTTCTTGTGGATAAACTTCCTGGTGGAAGAACTGAACTTTGACCTGTTGGTAGCCGGTCCCCTGGCTGGCCTACCTTCCTGCCCAGCAGTTTGTTTACTTGGGCCCATCACCACCACCCAGTCTAGGGCAGAGGGCCTGGATGTCTCTATATGAAGGACTTGACGCCCTCTTCCTAAGACCTAACATTTGCCCAGGCACATAGTAGGTGCTTAATAAATGATTGCTGATTGATTGAGAGGAGCAAGAAAGGGTCAGATGGGGCATTGATGGCATGGTGAATTGTCCTTTGGAGAAAGCCAGAGACCTCAAACTTGGATTGTGGTCCTTTTCTACCCTAGTCAATCAATAACCACTTCTTCTTTTTTCTTTTTTTTTGGCTAGGCAATTGAGGTTAAGTGACTTGCCCAGGGTCACACAGCTAGTTAAGTGTCAAGTGTCTGAGGCCGCATTTTAACTCAGGTCCTCCTGACTCCGAGGCCAGATCTCTATCTGCTGCGCCACCTAGCTGCCCCTTCAATAACCCCTTCTTAAGTGCCCCCTATGTGCCAAAACTGTACTAAGTGCTTGGAATACAAAGAAAGGCAGTGCTATCCCTTGTCCCCTCCCGTTGCACATCCCGGCTCCCTGACCTACGGTGCCTCTTCTAACCCTTACCCTCTCACCTCCAGAGACTCAGAGTCTTCTAGGGGCGTCTATCTCTATCTGTTATTCCGGTCACCTCAGTTTGCCCAGACTCCGGCCGCCAATGTTACTGGCCTTCGTCCAGGGGCTTTGAGGCAGGGACAGGCCAGTGCCACAGAAGTCCCACAGGTCTCTCCAGGGGAGCTCTGGGTGGAGTGGAGCAGCCAGGAGGCCAGGGCCTGGCCTAAAGAGAGAAACCACCCTGCCCAGGGGTGGAGTATTTATTTTATTTGCCTAGTCTCAGGAAGACTCAATGCTTCCTGCGGTGCTGGATCACAGACTCAGAGGGCAATGCTGGGGTGGGCTTGTTGGTATGCGTGTGGCTCTTTTTCTGCCTCTTGTAGTAGAGGACTGTCTGCAGCCAGAAACAGTCCATCTGGAGCAGGCAGAGCTGAGCACCAGGAACAGAGGCCTCCAACTGATCTGCTTTCCTGACCTGCTGGCCAGATTCCAAGCTGCTGGCAGTTGGGTCCCGGGGCCTGGGGGTTCCCTAGATTCTTGGGGTGCCTTGGCCCTAACAGGGGAGGGAGTGGTCACCTGGGTGTGGTGAGTAAGCAGAAGGGGATTTATCTGATTGGCCCCAGCTGGTGGGTCGGAGGCTGCTCAAACCACTTTGTGGCTTGTCCACAGGGAGGGTCCAAGATGGGGGGCTTGGTTGAACTTCCCAGTCCCAGGTTGGTGGCAGGCCTCAGGTTCCTTCTGATCTGAATTTATACTCCCAACCCCTTGTTTCTAGGCAGTATGAGAAGAAAGCTTAGGATAGGGGAGGGGAACATTTCTCAAGGGGGTAGGAGAACTGTAGTGGGGATCAGAGAGGGCCTAGAGAGGAGCGAGGTCCTCGTTTCTCCTTCACGGCTCCCATCTTTTTGGCCTGTTCTTTGTCTCGAGGTAGGAATCGTGTGGCCTGTAAATTATCTCTGTTCCCCTGACATTTCAAACAGCCCCTCCTCACTCAGTGGTTTAAGCCGTGGTGCTCAGGGTTTGAAAGGGCTCTTTTTCTTTTCCTCTGCTGGGGATTTTACAGACTTTAGCAATGACTTTTTTAAGAGATACCTGGTGTCCCGAGCCCTATCAGGCTCCCTTGTTCGAGGCCTGGACTTGGAGGACCTGGGTTCAGATCCTGCCTCTGATGCTTCATGTCTGTGTATGTGACCTTGGACAAGTCACTTGACTTCCCAAGGCCTCAGTTTCTTCATCTGTAAGATGAGAGGGCGAGACTAGGTGGCCCATCCAGCTCCATGGATTTGGAGTCAGAGGACCTGTATTCAGATCTTGCCTCCACTACTTTTTGTCAAATGAAGAGTCGGTTTAGATGAGCTCCAAGGCCCTTTCCAGCTCGGAGATCTGTGTCTTGGACCAAGATCCGGGCTTTGTGGGGAGGTGCCGAATGGATCGTGGTTAATAATCAAAGGGAATTCTTTTAGATAAAGCCGTTGTAAGCCTTTGAAAACAGGTACTGGTAGAGTTGAACCTTCTGGAGGTCATAGGTCATAGAGCTGTACGGAAAGCTGGAGATAATTGAGTCCAGAAAGATTGTTAGCAACTGAAAGACTTGGGTTTGACTCTTGGCCCGGCTACATATAGATGTGTGACCTTGGGCAAGTGACTGTCCCTGGCTGGCTCATGGAGATGTTCCCTACAAAATGAGGAGGTGGGAATAGATGGGTGGTCTCACTCATGATCTATTGTCTCAGCCCTTCCCCCAACTCCTCATTTTACAGAGCGGGAAATGGGGGTGCAGGAATGGGAACTGACTTGTTCAAAGTCACTAGATTAAGGGCCGACCTGTCATTTGGGAATTTCCATTAGGAGTCTCCTGCAGGAGTTTTTTTTCTGGTTAGGTCAGGGGTTTTTGGGCAAAGAAGAGGCAGGATAACCAGTGGGGAAACAGGGTCTTTGGCTGCCTCTGCTGGGGCCAATTAGATCCTTGCATTTTATGTGGGGAGCCTTGGCTTGGCCAGAGCTGCTGGCTGGCCGGTCCCTTCTCTTCCTGAGGGGCAGTTTAATGGTCTGGGAGGGGCTGCTGTGGCTCTGGGCGCCCCGTGTGGGGTGACAGGGAAAGCTGGCCGGTGTGTAGCCTGCTGATGTCACGCCAGACATGTGCAGTTGATTTGGAATACACCTGGAGTCAGATAAGCACCCTGTGACTGAGTGGTGAGTCAGAGACGGGCTGCGAGCTCAGCAGAACAGGTCCTCACCTCATTCCCTGGGCTGGGCTGGGCTGGGCTGCTTCTAGCCAGTTCCTGCACTGATGTGTTGGGACCAACCTCTGTCTGCAGTTTGGTGCAGTGGTCGCTGTGCGGACAGCTGGGGGATAAAAGGCCCCTGAGCTGGAGGAAAGGGCCT